AATACCATATTTTCATAATTAATCAATCGAAAAAAGTTGACCGACAATCTCCTTGACAGTTTCAACTCTAATGTTTTTGTATTTACTAAAAATGACTTCACTCTATGTCTCAATTCCATGATCAATGCCTTTTAGAGCCCACAAAAGGGCATAAGGAAAGTAAAGCTTGTGTGCTTTTCAAAATCCACAACTATAGCTAGCTTGATCTGTTGTGCTGATTGTTCTGGTCCACTTTCTTTGTTATACTACTTGTTGGAAACTGTTCGTTCAAACTAGTTTGATGTTTTTTCTTTGCTTTCTTTGAAGACGTTGATAAAATTTTTTGGGCCTGGAAAATGTTATTCCTTCTATAGTTATGGTTCTTGAAATTTATTTGGCCTTTAATAGGTTAATTTTTACTGCACCATCTGGGCGATCAATGCCTCGTATGCTTTCTGTATTCTCAAATATGTGCCAATTTCAGGTTCGCTATTTCTGGCCATTGAATGCTGATAGCCGCAGAGAATTTGATAAACTATGGCAAGAAGTTATTAACCAATCTGGAGGAAAGCCCACTTACAATGCCATCTCTGTGATGTTTGGAAGGTTTGATATCTAAACCTCTTAGCTTTTCTAAGTAAATGGAATCTTAATCGGAACACGCCCGTGCATCACCAATCAGGGCTCTGATGGTGCCTGAAAGCTGCAGTGGAGTGGCGAGATTCAACTTTGACTATCTATGTGGGCGTGCGGTAATGCTCTTAACTGCTTCTTTTATTCAATATATTGATAAACTTAAAATTACTTAATTCTAGTGCTATGGATCTACATTTTTTTTTGTATTCATAATTCTAGTTTTTAGTTGTGTGTTAATTAGAACGGTTGCGGTAATGTGGGATAACCAGCGCAATGCAAAGGCATAAAGTGTAATAGATTGGGAGCAAGTTCTGGCTATGTTTTATTGCGAAAGATTTGTGAAAATTAGAGTATTTAGTTCTTGCATCATTCAACATGAATGAATGGAGGGGAAACTTAATAAAGTCAACTTCAATGAGATTAGAAAGGCTAATTATGATGGCAATGATCATTTGAATTTAGTTGTTCATGTCCTGGCTTCCTAGAAATGGCCTGAAGGTGCATTGGGCTCTGGCAACAATTTAGGTCCAATGATATTAGTTTACTTAACCTGTTTTGACAGCTCTTTTAAGTTGACTTTGGGAAAATATAACTCCACTTTGCTTGACCAGTTGTAATGCTTGTCAAAGTTTCGAGAAAAATAGGTTGAATTCTGAATAGGCTCAATGCTTTTTCTCTTTGCTTTCATTCCATTAAATAATAATCTTACAATCTATTTAAGGTACAATATATTTTGTATAATCTATTTTAGGTAACTCAATAATACATATTACAAATCTAAAGATTCAGCTAAAAGGAAAATAAATCAGAATAAAGATATTGAAAATAATTTAAATAAGGAAGCTCCTAAATATAGAAAACTCCTAATTTAACTGTATGATTTTCGTCCTTTCTGACTGGCAATGCTCGGTTATGTAATGTTGGCGTTACGAGTCTTGCAATCATTTAAAAGGAAACGAGGGCAAGGGAGCGAGGGAAAGTTGAATGAGGCATCATATATGTGACTCGCATCGAGCAACACACAGTCAGTGAGCTTTGTAGATCTGCTTGAGGGAGGAAGATGATGCAATGGCATGCGAAGAAGTGAAAGTGGAGAAGTTATGCAAGAACAACAAGCACAAGCAAGACGAGGGTCATGACGACTCTGCCTGGGAACGCAAGTGTACCCGAGGGCTAAAAATGTGTGCTATTAACACACACAAAGGTGACGAAGCAAACTAGAGCAGTAATGAGTTGCTACCACATTCAAGCAGAGGAGATTATCGTGTCGTTTTCGCACGAGCTATGAGTTGAAGCAAACTTCATGCTCAAACACAAACCAATCCAACATACATAAACTTGTGAAGTTGTCATCATAAAAATTAAAAAGATTCAAGCAAGTGACGAAGGCAAGAAAGGCTTTCGCGTGCTAGTCTAGGGTGGTTCTTCCGGAAGAAGGTAAAAATTTTAATATCAATAACAAGTGCTTATCCATATAATTATAGATTTTAAAGAAAATTAAATTATTATTTGATGACTAATGTTACTCTTGGTAAATATAGAATGATTAATATTTTAATATAAAATTTTGTTGGAGTTCAAATAATAATTGAAATGACATATTAAAAGTTAAAGATATAAATAATAAATATTAGTTATGAATTATGAATGAAAATTATAATGGAATATACATTAAATAGGATTTAGATTTAAATAAGAACTAAAATAATTATTAGAAGCTATATGATTAATAAAATGAACTAGAATAATATGCTAAATTTAATTTAAAATATTATTACAATCATTAATTAAATATAGTGATTTAAATAAATGATTAAATAAAGATTAGTCCTGCATAACTAAATAATTTGATTAAAATTTTATATTTCTATATTAGACATCTAATTAGAGAAAGTAAAATCTAATAGGTTAAAGAGCAAAGTGGAAAAGCAAGTAATACAATATTAAGGTTAGTATGCTTATTTTTAATCTATGAAGTAGTTAGTGTCATGATCCGACCTGAGACTTGGAATAATCCAAGGCAGGAATGATTAGATGGTATAATTAATATTCTATTTACTTTCCACAAATTATCATAATTTCTACTTTTTAAAAGTGTCACTAAGAAATCTCAAAGTACACTACACAGAAAATCAAATATTCCAAAAACAATAATATAATCTACCAATAAAATATCTCAAAACAACATATAATAGTATTGTAATAGCCAATTTGTGAAATAGGGTAAAATTTTGGCAATTTAAAATATACCCCAAATTTCACATTTCTCCGATTTCAACTGAAACAATTTAATTCTACGCATCGAATCAATCAATTTGATATAAAACACAATATATTTACTATGATCGGATTGGGAGATAAATTTTGGAAGTTATAAGTTTAATTAAACCTAATTATTCCTAATCTCCTGTACATGCAATGTAGTCATCGAATTATCTCTCAATATTTATCGCTAGTTTAGTTGAATGGGAGTCTCCAAAGCCTTCGAATTCCTCCCCCTCTCCCGATTTCCTTTTCTCTGTCTTGATCACACTTTGCAGAAGGGCTCCCGTGTGGCTCCTGTAGTAAAAGTCCCAGCTAGAGCATAGCCACGGCCTGCAACAGGCGAGCGACTTGTCAAGAGCAGGCGAGCGACCTATCAAGAGCTACAGACCTTGATTCAGGTCTTCAGAACGAAATCGGTAAGTGTGGAATTGATTTTTATGACATTTGAGATTTTCATTTTCTTCCTCGTTCTTTAATTTTGAAATCTGCTTCCTTTTTTGTGCATTGTTCATTTTCGTTAGCCGGGGTAGGTGTCGAGTTTGTGTCAGAAGTGTCGAAAGTGTTTCTCTTTTCAGGTTTATTCTCACTCAAAGTGGTTCTATCTTGCTTTGAACTAATCTGCTCCACTCCCTAAGGTGTGCTCCTCCTGAGGTCTCTATGGGTTTTTGTTTGACTGGCAGTAGTTGTTTACTCTGCTTCTGGTCCCTCTTTTATTTTTAGTGCCACGGTCTGCACGTCTATCAATGGCTAAAAGGATTTCAATTAGACCATTTTACTGATGGCGGGCCTTAAGCATCCCAAGTACCTTGCTATGGTGCGCTTCTATATCTCATTTGACTCACACTTCAACTTAAGTTGCATAAATTTTATCCCGTACTCAACTGATATCTCCTGCTACAGGAAGTGGTGCTTCAAGAAAATATTTTGGGAGTAGTGCGAGGGTAGGTACTATCGCTGCATCGCCTTCTTCATTTTCTTCTAAGAAGTGATTTTGTTACATCTTTCTCTCAGTCTCTCCCTCTTCAAGTTCTCCCACCACAAAGAGGTATTTTTCTATAACTTGATGGAGATGAGCTCACTCTTCTTTCATCGAGCACCTACTTGTTTTCAAAGATCCGCTTAACTGTTTACATCCACTCAAGGAAATCATCTAGATCCATTCTACCCTAGAAGTCTGGTAGGCCCACCTTCATTTCCAGTTCTTTGTATTCTCTAATAGGCATGCTATCTTTGTATCGTCGAACAACACTCCATCTCTGTATTCTCCAGTAGGCATCTCATCTCTGTATCCTCCCAAAGGTGCTTAATCTCTATATCTTTCAATAGACACTTCAGCTCTAGGCCTCGACTAATAATATACTCAAAAGTGTTTTGGTATGTCTTCTCCATTGGAACCATCTTTACAGAAGGGATTTAGGTGATGTTCTTGCTTTCCTTCACGAATTTCATTGTTACAATCGATGGTGATCCAGCCCTGGGTTCTTTCCTCAATTGCATCAAGTCGATGCAGCATTTGGTGGAGTTGTCGTTGTATGTTGTCCATGGTTGATTCCTGATCAAATTTTGGTAATTGTCTACTCCGGGGCATGGTTAAGATTTTGGGTGTAAGTAATGGAAGGTGTGTAGGGCGGAGGAAAAAGAAAATTATTGTGGGCAGGGTAATATGTAGAGTTACTAGAAACCCAGGGATAGGATTATATTTAGGCTACCTTTAATACCAAATAATACTGGAGTTTGAACCAAACCACAATAAGGAAATATTATTACTGAAGGCAAATAGAGACTACAATCAGGGACACTTGGAACTAGGAAATAATAAAGACTCACACGAGCTCAACTAGGGTTGATATTGAAGGCGATGGCACTGCGTTTAAGGAGAAATAGTAACTGAAGCGGGTTGGGTGATAGACGACAGCGAGGCCTTTGGGGCGATGTGGGCAGCAGGAAGATTGTAGTAGTGAGTAAGAGGTGGTTGGAAGGGGTGACAACAAGTTGGAGGTGGCTAGAAGAGGGAGACAACAGGATGGAGGTGACTGGATGTCATGACCCGGCTTGGGGCATGAAATTAACCAAAATGGGTACAGACGGTCGGACATTGTGAATTAAATTTTCTATATTTTTTTATAATTTAACGGATGAATAAGTCACTGCAAATTAAATTAAAGCGATACAATTAAAATTACCTCGTTACTGGTTATTCTATCATCTATAAATATTTTCTTGTCTATCGCTCATTTTTTAATAATTTAATTAACCCTAAAAATGTTAGTTAAAATAACAGTAAGCTAAATAAAACTAGTGAATACTCACTCTCCTAAACTATCACAATACAATGAAAAATAATAAAATGCAAGTCATTTAGGCTTCTTTATAAATCAATATAAATATTTAACATGTTATTTAAAGAATCTATATCAATATCATTTCTTATCTGTACAACCATCACCGGAGCACCATCTGAAAATTACCATTTAAGATACTTCAATATCAATTTTTTTTCTATTTATGTGCACGTGTACATTAGTGTTCTCGCGCTAGTACCATCAAGGGGTGACTCCATAGTCATTCATGCCCATACAATCATTTACTGAAAATATCACTAATTAAAAAAAAATATTCATTTTACATTTGCATAATAGTCAAATAATTTAGTAATGATGTTTACACATCACTCCTATAATATGAACAAAAATTCACTAGCATTCAAAATCACAAGCTTGCAGTAAATTCAATATAACCAAAGATAGTATCAATAAATGCATTTGGTCTATAAGAAGTAAAATGTCACTATAATATAAAACATTGATGATAGATGATCTGCTTGCTTTTTAACTTATATTACTTCTATCAA